AACCCCGGACTCTGGATAGCGGCCGCCACTTGGCGAACCCTGGAATCTGTATAGCCGTCGCGCTCAGGCAACAGCGGCGAGGCGCGCTCGATGACTATACAGGTTCCCGGTCTCGCCTCCTCCCCCGCCCCCTCTGCGCCACCTTCACCCACCCCTTTCCGCGCACAATGGGAGCGCCCCCGCTCATGCTTTCTATTGGGAGGGTTGGACTGAACCATGCGACGGCGGGGGGGGAGGGGTTAGGGAAGAAAGGAGGAGGACTGTGAGGGCCGGCACACCGCCGGGAGTTCGAGTCGGCTTCCGAAGGGCCGTTGGAGGCTCCCCCCTCAAGGCTGGTCTCCTCCTTTCGCCCCCCCGCACCTTACAAGGGAGGTGGACGCACACAGCGACCGCACTCACCTCAGCGTCCACAGTGGCCATGGCCGGAGCAGCCCTGAAGCGAGGCCCCGCCCACTTTTCGAAAGCTCGCTGCGCGCGGCCCTCCCTCGGCCCCGCCCTCTTCATTCATTTGCTCAGGAGGGGAGAGCAGCGCGCCTGCGCGGCCACCGCCAAACCATGGCGCCGGCCGGGGATTCACGCCGGCTGTCATGGCGGCGCCCAGCAGTGGTAGAAGCTTCCGTACAGGGTGGGCGGGGCTTGGCTAGGGCAGTCAGGAAAAAAAAGAACCAGAGATTGCATTTTCACTATAATCATATTTAAAAATAAGTTTCACCGCTGGATCGGAGCTCCTTGGGGCGTTTGCATCTTTGCAGAAAGAAAAAAAGAAATGCATTTGGGAAATTGTTTTTTTTTTATTTTAAATAAAATCAGAACATAAATATAAACATCTGGGTCTGGTCCTTTACCATGCTAAAAGTTATAGGGCAAAATTTATTTAGGTGCTTGGCACATGTTTGGAGTTTTGATTCCTTGCCCTGCTACAATAAAAGCTCTCCTGCTTTTAATGTAGTAAAATACAAGAAGCAATTAATTTCATGCAAAGCGGGTTTTTTTCTCTTTTGCAAACTCGAAGGTACAACATTGTTCAACCAAATGAACAATTAAGACACCTCTGTATATGAAGAAACTGAACTGTCTGTTAATGATGCCCCTATTCTCAAGATGGGTATCCTTTGGATCCAAAACCACTTTCTCTGCAAAAGAGCAACGTTTTAGAGATTCTGCAAAACTGAACTTTTTTTCCAGAAGTTCAAAAAAAAAAAAAAAAAAGAATCAAGAAAAACTTGTGGTGTAAGAAAGAGATTTCCCGAAGAGTTTGGTGGGAGACAGCTTGTTCCAGAAAAAGCTGATCAGATGAAGCAATATTCTGAAGGAGGCTTTAGCCGGGTCAGAAAAAGAACACAGACTTCAAATGCCATGATTTTAATCATGATTTGTTGAATACATCGCAGTAGTGCTCACATGCTGTGCAAAGTACACCCTGATCTCCAGATAGCTGGATTTTTTAAAAGGCTCAACCGAGATCAAACTAGCCATAACAAGAGTTGGGTAGTTGTGCATGCCACACTGCGTGTCCCTGATTTGGTTCAGCATTTAACTTTTTTTTAAGAACTCCATTATCTTCTATATGCAATTCTTGCGTCATTTTACCTGTGCTGCTTCCCTGGGGTGATGGGTGGGAAGGTTATTCTCTGAGCTTATTAGCTAAGGAAAGGTTTCATCACCCGTAAACTGTCACTGCAAACGTGGCACACTAACGATAATAAATCATCTCTGGGATAATAGTCCTAATTACAGTACTTTTGATAGCAAGGTTTTTTTTTAAAAAAAATCATATTAATAGACTACAGGATTGCTTAGAGATACATGCTTAGAGAAGAGGGAGGAGGAGGAAGGAGAAGAAGAAGAAGAAGAAGAAGAAGAAGAAGAAGAAGAAGAAGAAGAAGAAGAAGAAGAAGAAGAAGAAGAAGAAGAAGAAGAAGAAGAAGAAGAAGAAGAAGAAGAAGAAGAAACATCTGCTATGCCAAAAGAAGAACATTTTTATTTGCTTTCAGAAATACATATTTCTCCCCCCCCCCTCTCTCTCTCTCTCTCTCACTTAAGAAGGAGGCTATAAACGCATTGAACTCTCTGATTAAATCTAAAGTTAAACTCCAAAGATTCTGGTTGGGAATTTTAGAGTCACCTTGCTGCTTTCGATCAACAATCAAGCTTGCATGGGTGGTAAAAGAAGACCTTGAATGGATGGATGGAGAACCACTGATAAAATGGTTCTCTTCCACCCATTCAAGGGTCCATTGTTTCTACCCATGCTCTTCGACAGCTACGGTATTCCACCAGAGGACAAAGAGATCTTCATGAAGACAGCAAGCTTCAACAACCTACGCAAGGCTGATTCTCAGACCCATGAGCTGAAATGACAAGGAACAGCCTGTGTTTTAAATCGGGACTCTTTAGTTGCTTGTTAAACAGGTCCACAGGCTGGCTGAGGTTCAACCCCATCCTTCTCCAATCTACGTGGTTCCATTTTTCTCACTTTACCAGTAGAAACATCTCCCTGGTGGAAGAGCTTGTTGTTGTTAGTTGCGAAGTCGTGTCCGACCCATCGCGACCCCATGGACAATGTTCCTCCAGGTCTTCCTGTCCTCTACCATCTTCTGGAGTCCATTGAAGCTCACGCCTCCTGCTTCGGTGACTCCATCCAGCCACCTCATTCTCTGTCATCCCATTCTTCTATTGCCCTCAATCATCCTATCTGGGGAAGACTTGCTTTGGGTCAACCCTTTCCCGGTTCAGTATCAGATAAAACTTAAGATCTCAAAACAGCTCTGAACAAAGGTAGAAAGATATTTCCACCTGAGAAGTTAAAAGTCAAACACTCTTAATTGTCTAGTCTAGCGTGCATTAGGATTCAGTCTTGGAGAGCCTCAACCGATGCAGGAAGCCAATCGCTCCAGCCAAAAAGCAAGATTGTTGAGTAACGGCCTGGGCCAACTCTTTTGAGTGCCCCAGAAAAAATGAAGAATCATCTTAGCTTTGTTCCAAAGTAGGCCATTAACCCAATCCTTTTGCAGAGGAGTGAAAAACAAGAGACACAAAAATGAAACGCTACTGCCACCCAACGGGGTCTCCGGAGAAGGTTCCGTCTCTAAAATTCTTCCAAAATAAAAGTCCGCTCTTGGCACCTTCTGGCAGCCATCAGAAAAAGAAAAAACACACACACAAAACTGAAGTGGCCTTTTGCTCTGTGAGGAGCAATGCAAGCCCATCCTGGGAACGAGGCCTTTCCGGCAATGAGTTCAGGCTGAAGCTTCAATGAATATTTATTCATTAATTAATGCAATAGGAAGGCTTACATCAGGATTTCCCTGTGATTATCTTGGGCGTGTTGAAATTCCTCGTCTCAATCCAGGAACAGGACACAAGGTGGAAGGGGATATATTATGCAATTGGAGGCATCTTAATTTTTGAAGAACCGTCCAGCAGATGGGTCACCAATGGCAATAGGGGAGAACTGAAGATATCCAGCTGTAGAATGGACCCATTCTGCACATCTGCATGAAAAATGTAAGAAGAAACTGGACAGCCCTCTGTCTAAAATGGCATAGGGTCTCCTGCTTGAGCAGGGGGTTGGACTAGAAGACCTCCAAGGTTCCTTCCAACTCTGTTATTCCGAAGTTCTTGAGTTACTTATATTGTTGGGCAATTTGATGCCCATTCAGTGTTCTGGAACTCATCCGTTCCAGCTGAATTTCTTCACATGTCCCGCAAAATTTATAAACTCCGCTTGACCAACTGTAATTGCCGGCTTCACAAAACATATTGAAGCCAAAACCAGACTACATTATCCCTTAGCGTGCAGCGTGAACTCAGCCTTGGGATGAAAAGCATGTGCAGAACAGTCAAGACTTGATCCATCTCCATCTCGAATGTATGTTATCTAGAACCTGCTTGATAAATCTCGACTCCTCTGAAATTTTGCAGATTTCTCTAAGCAGGCAGAAATAACAGTAATTGTCTGATTTTGCAGGTCTCTCTGGCGTGTCTAGGAGAGACTTCCTGGGCTTCTAAAAACCACAGGTTCTACGTGAGAGCTCAAGATATGTAGGACTTAGGGAAATTTGTGGTTTCATGGTCTTGGTGTACTTCATTGTGTGAATTCATTTACCGGCGTTCATCTGTTATGGCACAAATATTCAACTCCGGGGCCTGATGTCCCTTGGTCCTTTGATACCACTTAAATTCAGTGACAAAATGATTAATTTTGGGGGTTCAACTCTGGTCTCTTAAGAGATGTTTGACTCTCCATTCTCATCCTTACGACCTTGAAAAGTTTCAATCCAGCCCCTTCTAGGAGCATCGTAGCTTCCTGGGAACCAAAATCACATCTCACCCCCGGTTTTGCACAACAAGACAACTCTAGCCCATATTGCCATAGGTAATTCTCGACTTACGAGCACAAGTGAGCTCAATATTTTTGTGGCTTAGCAAGACACTTTGAAGTGTGCGTTGTGCCCCATTTTGCGAGCTTTCCTGCCACCGTTCTTAAGTGGATCCCCGCAGTTGCAAAATGAGTCACGCGCTTGTGGATCTAGCCTCCCCACTGAGTGTGTCAAGCAGAGGGCAAAAGGGGATCACGTGACCCCGGGACACTGCGACCATCGTAAATACGGGCCAGTTGGCAAGCTTCCAAATGTGGACCCTGGAGACGCTGCAACGGTCGTCAGTGTGAAAAAATGGGCACTTTTTTTTTCAGTCCCTTTTAACAGCCACTAAACGAAGTTGTGACGATTAGGATTGTAAGTCAGGGACTATCCATGTAAATATCACCAAGATTCTGCCGCTTCAAGACCACACAGGAGGAAATTATTACTTTTCTGTTCTTTTCACTAGCTCTCCAGAGCTGGTGCTGACAGGAAAAAGGAAGCTGCATCTTCATGTAAAACCTGGCAATTTTTCAGCTTCTCAAGATGCAAAACTGATTAAGGAGAAGTACATCAAAACCTGCCAAACCGCAAGGCCGAATCAGAAGAGGAAGAGAAGGAGCCCCGACCAAACCCTTTTGCAGTTTTCTCAGAATAATTTATTAAATACATTAAAATTGTTGTTGTTTTAAACTTCACCGTTAAAACAAGTCGATCGAAAACAGAGAGAGAGAGACAGACAGACAGACAGGTTTCAATCACCTTATAAAAACATTTAATTTGAGGAGTCTCTGTAGGTTGTTCTCCACGCAACTGGGATCCTGTAAAAGGGTGGGAGGTTGTAACCGCGTTGAGTAACTCACAATGGATAAGAAAGGAGAAGAAAATCAGATGGGGAGGGGGAAGGTTTTAGGTCCTAGGAAATGCATTATAGGAAACGTGGTCATTGCTTCTCAAACCAAGCAGTTGAAGCTACCTTGATGGTTTGAGAGAAGACAGATGATTGAGGCAGTGAACGTGGGAAAGCATCTTCCATTTGAGGAAAAATTTAAAAAAAAAAAGGACAATAATTAAAAATAACTAACCAGCCACGTTTGGGCAGGGATCGCCAGCCAGATAAAACTGATGGCACAGGAAAGGGACAATCGGGACCATATCCTATGTGGTCAAAAGGTCCGTGAGATATAAGATATTTGTTATTTTCTTCAAAATGATAGAGATACTTTAAATTTCAGCCGTGCCTCTCTCCACCCCTTTCATGGTTCCATCTTGTTTCATGGAAACAGGAAGGCCGAGGTAGAAGTAGAACACAAGTATGATTGTCAGATGCTACCAACCAGGTGGAAAGTCAATGCTGGAGGATTCCGGAGAAGAAATTCAGGATCAACTCCTACTAATGCTCAGCGACAAAGTGCTCAAAGATGTATCTGGAACGAATCCTGGCTAACCAGAGTGGCTTAAACACATTAGGATTCCTTTGGCCCTGGGGAGCCAAGCTAACATCAAGAAAGATCTTTCTTCTACCCAAGGCTGGCTCAACACTATAAAAACGACTTGGGTCTATCTTCTATCTTCTCCTGTTGCAACAGACCTCCTGAAAAAGCTCCGAAAAAACAGGCACAGAGTTGGAAAGTCTGCAATAAGTCCTGCCGATAACCTGTCGACACCGTTATGTCATTGAAAAAAATAAAAAGGATGCCTGTGGTCCATGGAAACGTCGAAAAGAGCTCTCCAACAGTATTTGCCCATCCTCTCTAGAAACAACTCTAGAACATCAGGGGAGAGCGAAGGAGAACAAAATGTAAGTGTCCAGACAGCCAATCCCATCGTGGGAATTCAAGAGCAGCACTCCAAAAAAAAAAAAAAAAACCCAAAACCCAGAAACCAAATGCACATTTGAATACTTGAAGCGTTCATCCATCTTCTTTGATTCCGGCTGTATTCCCCATAAGGCATCTGAGGTGTTTGGAGAGTAAAGCAGCAAAAGTAGGTGGCAGGATTGTATAGTTCACAGGTGGGATGTCAAAAAAAAAAAACATCCCTAGTGTTGGTCAAGGGCAGCCAGCAGGCCTGTGGCCAGGTGGGACTGCCTCTTCCAAGCAACATCGTCTACCGGTACTGTCCTTCCTCCCGATTCACCGTGGACTTCAGATGGCCAGGCTAGAGCCTAGTTGTCGTTGCTGAAGCTAGAGGCCGCACTGCTACAACTCTGTTCGTAGGAAGGAGGTGCCTCTGGCGAGAAAGGAAGGAGAAGAGACATCGTAACCCGTAAATTGAGGAGAATGGAGCCATTTGGAGATGAATTGGGTAGGTCTAGTCCAGGGATAGGCAACCTTGGCTCTTTTATGACTCGTGGACTTCAACGCCCAGAATTCCTGAGCCAGCCTGGCTCAGCTTGGAAACCTCTCCCTTTCCCCTTAGCATGGCTGGCTCAGGAATTCTGGGAGTTGAAGTCCACGAGTCATAAAAGAGCCAAGGTGGCCTACCCCTGGTCTAGTCTAAAGAAGACAAGGACTAGGGGTGACGTGATAGCAGTCTTCCAACAACTGAGGCTCTGTCCAGTGGTGGGATTCAAATATGTGAACAACCAGTTCGCTGTGTGGATGCCGCTTCTGGAAATCCATTCTAGGCCTGGGCAACAGAAACAATTAGCTACCGGTTCTGCCGAAGTAGTGCGAATCGGCTGAATCCCACCACTGGGTCTGTCTCCAAAAAGAGGGGGTCAAACTGTTCTCCAAAGCCCCTGAAGGCAGGACAAGAAGTAACGGATGGAAGCTTATCAAAAAGAGATCTGATCTAGAACTAGGGAGCAAGAGACAGCAAGGCTTAGATTGGTTGTGCGCTAGAAAGTGGGTGAAGACAGCTCCTCCCTAATAGTTCTCAAAGTATATGTTTAATGGCGCAAGTCGTCTGCTTCAGTTTGGCAAGATTCTGTCTAGAGGGCAGGGGCAATAAAGGAGACTGCTTAGAAGAACCTCGTTCTCCTTTTGTTTTGGAGCCCGACAGCTCTCCACCACCCCCAGATAATTGATTTCCAACTTACCGGATGGATAACCCCAAGTGCTATACTCGGGCGGTAGGATCAAAGAACTGGCCGTGGCCACTGGAACAACAGCACCCTCAGCGTAATAAGGAACCGTTGATCCCGTCGACAAGCAAAGAGTGGGACAGTTGGGGGAGGTGATCTGCTCCGAATCCGGTCTCACTTCCGGGAAGCTCAATCCTGGGGCGTAGCTGAAGGGCTGCTGTTGGGAATGGCTCTTAGTAGGGATTGAAATATTGTCCATGGGGTGGGAATGACCCCTGGCTGCTGCTTCTTCTTCGGGAGGCGCGCTCGGGACCACCGGCGAGGGAAGGCTGGGGACCAGGTGAGAAGGACTTAAGGGGATCCGGTTCACGGCAATGTTGCCAATGTAAATGGGCAATGCGACGGAGACGTCGGGGGACTTGAGGGAGACCTGGGAAAGATCAAAAATAAGGAGGGTGGACATCCTCATTAATAGGGGCGGTCCTCCACTTCAAACAGTTCGTTTAGCGACGGTTTCGAAGTTACAACAGCATTGAAAAAGTGGCTGGTGGCTTTAACTTTCAAACTAAGTAAATTAATCCTGTAATGGGCCAATCAATCTTCCTCTTTTGGAAAAACAGTCGTGAAGCCTAAAAAAGAGTCCAGCTTATAAGACATCAACAAGAGAACCGTTATTCTGGATTCAGAAGGTGTTTCCCCACTGCCAAGGGTGAAATATTCAGCCCACGAATTCTGGTCCCCGAGTTGAACATGCTAGAAAGTTCAACCAAGTGGAACTAGCTTTCCCCCTGCACCAGTTCCTCAGTTCCAGAAGATGGAATTGATATTTATTTATACTGGGCGTAGTGGAAAGAAGAAAAAAACACCAAAGGCTCAGTCTTCAGAACTGAGTCTCAATGGTTCCCAAATCCCTCCCCAGCGCTTTGCAATTTGGAAACTAAGAAGGACATTTGAAATTTGTGGCAAGCATTATTATCTATCAATAAAGGAGAATCTTTGTAGCTCAGGGCTGAAATAAGGGGTCCTCTATGCTCTCTGAGCTGGGTGGTTTTCTTGCAGATGTTTAGCTAGCACTGGTGATGTTCCCTAGTTGGGTAATGACGTCTGCAAGAAAACCACCCAGCTCAGAGAGCACCAAGGACCCCACTGTCCTCCTCCTCCTCCTCTCTGCAAACCCCACTCTCTTCTAGCACTGACGATGCTGCCTAGTTTGGTTAATGAAACGTCTGCAAGAGAACCACCAGGCTCAGAGAGCACCAAGGACCCCACGGTCCTCCCACCTCCCCTTCGTCCTCTGATCTCACCTGGATGTAGTAATCGATGTGAATAAGACTGCAGCCTTGCAGAATGGATTGTGGCAACGCTGGGACGAGGACCTGCTCCTTCCACTCTGCGTGCTTCCAGGCTTTCACAGCGGAGCCCTCCACTTCAGCGATAGTCCTCAAGTCATAAATCCACCGCCGGGATTTATAGGCAACTTTCTGGTAGCCAGGGAGGTGGGGGGGGGGAGAGAGAAGTCAAGGGGAGAAGGAAATAATTTGTGAACAGGCAAAAATTTCCCCAGACCCTAAAACTAACAAATCAGAGAAGCTTCTGCACAGGAGGCAGCCGAAAAGGCCCTGGGATCAAGAGGCAGATGCTCCAGGGTAGAGCAGGAGAAGAAGTTGTGCTCTCTTCTCATAGGACACAAGGGGCAACTTCAGCGAAGTGGAACCAGTGGGAGATCCCAGACAGGCCAAAGAAAGTTTCAATGGGGAATTAACCCATTGGGGAATTCACTTAAGACATGTTTGGTGTAGTCCTGGCTTATTTAGAGATTGCAGAGACATCTGGTCCAGCTCCAAGACACTCGGGAGATATCGGAGGACCAGGCATCGTCCCTCAGCCTTCAGAATTTTAGGATAAAATCCCATGCTATACGTCCACCTATCCATCCAACTACCCTTCCTTCCTTCCTTCCTTCCTTCCTTCCTTCCTTCCTTCCTTCCTTCCCTACCCTTTCAACCAACTACCCTTCCTTCCTTCCTTCCTTCCTTCCTTTCCATCCAACTACCCTTCCTTCCTTCCTTCCCTCCCTTTCCTTCCTTCTCTTTCTTTCCTCTCCTTCCTACCTCCCTTGCTTCTTTCCTTCCTTCCTTCCCTTCCTCCCTTCCACCCTTGCTTCTTTCCTCCCTTTCCTCCTCCCTCCCTCCTTTCCCTCCCTCCCTCTCTCCCTCCCTTCCCTCCTTCTTTCCTTCCTTCCTCCCTCTTTTCCTTCCTTCCTTCCTTCCTTTCCTTCTTTCCATCCATCCATCCATTCACTCACCCATCCATCCATCCGTCTCCGTATCAATCTATGTATAATGAATGAATCAAGGAGGCCACCGAAAGGGAAAGACATATCTCAAGACCACCCCACCCACCCACCCATCTTGGCAGCCCAAGGCCGTCTACCTGGACAAGGCTGGCTATGATGGTGCTGGTGTCCCGGCCAGATTTGTTCTCAATGTCTGTTCGCAACTGGATGATCTGCCCGACGGTGTAACCTTTCAGATCGGTGGTGGCTGTCAAAACCACGTTCCCCGTTTTCACCAGCTTGTAGCTGAACTTCTTGGTGAGGGAGTGGGTGTTGAATTGCTGCCGGGATGAGACGAAAAAGAGGAATTATTATTAATTATTTGAATTTGTTTTTAATCGTAGGAATGACGATAAAGACTAATGAGTAAACAGAAGCATATTTTATTCCCCACAGCGAGGAGAAGCAGAGGCGGTCAAATGGATATTTTTATTCAAAGCATCAGTTGAATATATTTAACTTGGTTTTTACTTCACCCTCCGGCCCCAACTTGCCTCAATATCTGGGATGTCGTTCAGATTCAGCGGACAGAGAACGTAGAAGACCTTGTGACACTTGTGGTCCTTGGAAAACCGGGGTGTCTCGATCACAGCTTTCACCTGGTGCACCACCTTCCCAAAAGGGCCTTCGAAAGAGGTGGGGGCCGAGGCTGGTTTTCCAGAAAGAAAAGAAAAAAGTATATATATTCGGGAAGAAAGAGAAGTAAGATGGGTACTATTTTTAAACAGATTAAAACCAACCCACAACGTTCTCGTAGGCTTGCACAAAGTTAGGACTGAAAGGGTGTGTAGCAAAAGCCCAGCCATGCTCCCCCCCCCCCAAAATCAGAGGCACATCAATTCTTGCAAAAATTAAAAGTCAGTGTGCAACATAGGACTAACTCATTCTAATCCTATCAGCTTGCGAGGCATAACCAGAAGCTAAGAAGGGCTTCAAAGGCCGAGAATTTTGCTCTATTTTTTTTTCTCTTTTTTGAACGAAGTCAAATATTCTTAGGAAGATAAAACGCCACGCCTCTTTGCTAAAACATTTGGCCTTTTCTGCAAGTTGCATGCATGCAGCTCCGGACAAGCATACGCTATTACAAGAAAAAAAAATCTGTCTACAAACTTTTTTTTCTTGGCAAACCTTCGTGGTTCCCTCCCAAATTAGAAGGGGCTAATTATTCTGCTGTTGCTTATCATTCAGGAGAGGCGAGGAAGAGAGAAAGAGAGAGAAGAAGGAAGGAAGGAAGGAAGGAAGGAAGGAAGGAAGGAAGGAAGGAAGGAAGGAAGGAAGGAAGGAAGGAAGGAAGGAACAAAGGAAGGAATCTAGTTACAGGAAGGAAGAGAGGAGAGGAGAGGAGAGGAGAGGAGAGGAGAGGAGAGGAAAGGAAAGGAAAGAAGACCAAGCAATGATCCAGCTTCAGACTAGAGTTTAGGGCAGTGGTTTCATTTTGTCCCAAAGTTAAAGTGATTAGAAGTTGAACCATTACACTGCCTAGCCCATCAGCAAAAGCTAACTTGCTTATTTCGAATGATCCGATATCCTAAAAGATACAAACAGGTTTCCGCCAATAAAAGAAAATAAATAAAAATTAAATAGAAATTTAAGGAAAAGTACCCTGGATGCATGTAGCATGCCCAATATTGCCATCCAGCCATTGCCCTCACTTCATCCAGGCCTTTGTGCAGCAACAGCTGGCAATGAAACCTTTGCCACCCCAATCAGTCAGCTACCTAAGCACATGCCACTTTAACACATGAGAAGGGTGGAGTTACAGTATAATCACAAACCTGTCCCCGAGAACAGGAAAAAAATCCCAACTACCTGGCAGCAAAAAACGGAAGGGAAAGGTGTGTTCGCCACTGCTCAAGATCCCTGAAAAACAGAAGAGCAAAAGGAGACATTTGGTCGGCAATCCCATGAGCAAACCGTCCATTTTTCTTTTTCCAGATCCAGAAATGTTGGAGAAAGATTCCTTCTACCTGGCATCGGTTACAATATTTAAATCTTGAGGGGGCGCTTTTGGAGTGTGGAGGTTTTCTTGCAGACGTTTCATGACCCAACTAGGTAACATCATCAGTGCTACTGAGTGTTGGGTTCACTCCCTGCTAGCACTACATCCACTAGTACTGATGATGTTACCTAGTTTGGCTAATGAAACGTCTGCAAGAAAACCACCAAGTTCAAAGAGCACCAAGGACCCCACAGTCTTTCTCCTCCTCCTCCTCCTCCTCCTCCTCCTCCTCCTCCTCCTCCTCCCCCTCCTACTCCTCCATGCAAACCCCACTCTCTTCTAGCACTGACAATGTTACTTAGTTGGGTAATGAAACGTCTGCAAGAAAACAGCCAGGCTCAGAGAGCACCAGGGACTCCATAAGCCTTCCTCCTCCTCCTCCTCCTCCTCCTCCTCCTCCTCCATGCAAACCCCAATCCCTACTAGCACTGATGATGTTCTCTAGTTGGGTCATGAAACGTCTGCAAGAAAACAGCCAAGCTCAGAGAGCACCAAGGACCCCTCATCTCAACCCTGAGCTACAAAGATTCTCCTTTATCGGTACTGAAAGCTTGAACCCGTCCAATAAATGCAATTTCCTTTTCTTCCCCCCCCCCCCCGTCCCCCACCCAACAGTTCAGGTGTTATGGCTCCATTTAGCCAGTAGATGGAGACCGGGAGTAATTTAATGAGGAGAGATAGATTAGCCTCAGGTCTCAGGCAGTAGATAAAAGCTCCATCAGTGATCTTTAAATAAAACCATCTATCAGAAAGCTTTTAGATTCTCCACTCTCCTTCAGGGGAGAATTAAGCAAACTGCACAGATGGGGGGTACCCAAAGGCCAGTGGCTACTTCCTGCCATCGACCCAAAGGACACTGCAGAATCCGGTAACACCGTATATAATATTGTTCAGAAATACTGTTAAGCGTTTGCAGAGAGATCCATTAGCCACAGGCTCCAATCCAGCATCCAAGCGGCCAGAATTGCAGAAAAAGCATAATGCAATAAGCACAGCATTAGGATAAATAAATATATATATATATATATATATATATATATATATATATATATATATAAACAAAGAGGAGTTGGTCTCTTTCCAGCCAGTTCTGTTTCCAACTCGGCGAAGACGACTCGCAGCTGCTTCGCAAATAAATGTGGGAAGAAGAGGAGAAATGTTGAAGCCGGTCCAAAAGTGGCTAAATGTGGAGGCTTGTTTGGCAAATAAAGAAACTCTTTTTTTTTCCCCAGGAGCAAATCAGGACACGTGTGGTTTATCCTGGCCTTCGCTGCCGTTTCTTCCCATCCCTGAGAAAGGGAGACGTTCAGCCATTTGTCGCAGCAAAGAACCGATAATTCCAAATAATTTCCTGGCAACCAAAGTCGCATTTTCTTTTTTTCTGGTGACCCTCCGTCTCTTTCAGAGCGCAGTTGCTTAAAAGCAAGGAAGCTTCCCCCGTTTCTGTTTTTTTTTAAAAAAAAAAATTAATTCTGAGTCCTGCTCAATTCCTCCTGGCTTCTTGGACCCATCTTCACGTAGCTCTCGGCTTACAATTCGTTTAGCGACCGCCCGACATCACGATAGCGCTCAAAAAAGCGATTGACAGCCGTTTTTTTCTCACCCAGCCATTGCCCCCTGGTCACATGATCAGACTTTGGATGCTCGGCAACTGGCATGGACGCATGACGGTTGCAGTGTCCCAAGGTCGTGTGATCCCTTTTTGCGAGCTTTTGACTCCCGCGACTCGCTTAAACCCCCGTGGCCTGCAAGGACGCACAACGGAGCAAAATTCACTTTCACAACCGCCTGGCTTGGCCGCAATTCCAAAGGAGCCATCTTTCGGGACCTTGTTTTGACTTCCCCGCCTATTTTATGGCCGCCCCCCAGCCCTAGCCAAGCCTGCTTAGCTGCCACCTGTTGAGTTTGCTTTGTGGGAAAGGAATTTGGAAACTCATAATAAACAGGAGGCGTTCAGACAGCTTTCTTCAGTTATATGCTTTCCCCAAAATAATTGTTTGCTCCCAGTAAGGGGAAGGAGAGCATTAAATCCAGCTTCCAGCCCGACTGCAGTCACTCTCACCAGGACAAAGGGCCCAGTGTCTCCTTCCACAAAAGTATTTCAGAAAGGTTTTTCCCAGCTAAAAATACCTCTGGGGTTGGGGAGGGGAAAAGGTATTATGCAGAAAAGCCGCTGCCTGCCTTCCCCAAATGGCTCAAAATCACTCTTCCCCTTGCCAGCTTCTTGCAAAGTGGAGCCAAGCACACAAGAGAGAGAGAGAGAGAGAGAAAATCAAGCTGCAAAACTTTGCAGGAAAAAAAAGTGATTTTTTTTTCCTCCATATTTTTCATTAGCACGAAACAATGCATACGTTTCTGGCTCGGCCCAGGAAGAGAAAGAAATCATCGTGACTTGCAAGTTTGCTTCTCCCGTTCGAAGTATTGCAAGAGAAAAACAGTAGAAAAACATTCAAGGGGCGTAAACAGACATGTATATTATTTCTCACGGCCGAAAAGAAAACAAAAAAGTTGAAGTGGTTCAAGTGCATTGCATTATTCAAAGGAAAAGAACACGATCTACATTTGTTTCCAGTTGGATTCTGCCCTTGGCTTGGAAAGAATGAAACGTGGATTTTGGAAGCGCAACTTAGTGACCAATTTATCTGTGGCTAAGTGAGACCTTTATTAAGTGCGCTTGCCCCATGTTACGACCTTCCCTTACCACAGTTGCTAAATGAATCACTGCAGGGATTAAATGTCAGAAGGTCACCAGAGGGGAATCACATGACCCCCCCCTCCCGGGACACACACTGCGACCGTCACAAATGTGAGTCAGTGGCCAAGCATCTGAATTTTGATGTGACCCTGGGGACGCTGCGACGGTCATAAGTGTGAAAAACGGTCATAATTCACTTTTTTTCAGTGCCGTTGTAACTTACAATGGTCACTAAAAGAATTGCTGTGTTGAGAACTACCTGTATAATATTATTTTTATTATGGATCATCACACAGTCAGCCAGATGTTCAGACTGGATTTGGCATTTTGTCTACCTATCGAGTCCTTACCCAGGACCTGGGATAGGCAGATGTGGATGTTTGATGGTATTACAGATATCGTCGCAGGATGGAAGCAGTTCCTAGTAAGGCCGCCTTTTGCAATTGACTAATGGCGAATTTGTCAATGCCGATGATGGTGTCCAAGTGGTGCTCCAGTTGTTTTGGGGTTGCACCCAAGGCGCCTATGACTATTGGTACTACCCTTGCTTGCCTTTGCCACAGCCTTTCTATTTCTATTTGTAGGTCTTTGTATTTTGTTATCTTCTCCAGTTCTTTCTCGTCTATTCTGCTGTCTCCAAGCACTGCCATGTCCACTATCCAGACTTTTTTATCTTTCTTATCGATAGTTGTTAAGTCCGGGGTAGTGGTGGTGGTGGTGGTGGTGGTGCTGCTGCTGCTGCTGTTGTTGTTGTTGTTATTATTATTATTATTATCCCCTTGCTTGAGCAGGAGACCTTATACTAATGCCCCCCAACCTTGGGGGCATCAGGGACCAGGAGATTTTTCCACGGACCAGAGAGGATGTGATTTCACATGCTGCCTGCATCCCACAGACAGGGCTTCTCTTGTTTGCGTGGACCGGTTCCTAGCATGCCATGGACCAGTGCCAGTCCACAATTGATCCCAAAATTTCTCTTGCTCATTGAGACGGTTGTTCAACGAATTTTGTTCCCTTTGACAAATATCCTTGACCCCTGTTGTGAAGTTAGTAGCATGGCACTTAAGCGACTCCATCTTCCCCCTTTGACTTTGCTTGCCAGAAGCAAATAAATTAAGTCGTGGACTTGCAACCTTCATTGAATGTCCAGCAGAGCTGGGTGTGTAGAGTAGAGGAATTTGGGGTGAGCCATCAGAGGAAAACAAGAAGAGAGAGAGAGAGAGAGAGAGAGAGAGAGAGAGAGAGAGAGAGAGAGAGAGAGAGAGAGAGAGAGAACTGGACAGAATGGAGCAATAAACCGGTAGAGCTGCTTTTTTTCTTTCGGACTTTGTACATACTCCGGCTTTCTTTCAACATGTTTTCCTTTTGGAGGCTGGCCGTCCCCTCACTTAAAACTTCAGTTGGGTTGTATTTTTAGTTTTTAATTTAATGGTTTAGCTGCAGCGATCTGTAAAAAAAATAGTCCCCTTTTCTAGCCTGTTGCAACTGAGTTCGCCAATTGCCCTCTTTCTTTCTGTTTCGTCAACAGGTGGAAGAGGATCGTGGGGTCCTTGGCGCGCTGTGAATTTTGCAGACGTTTCATTGCCAAACTAGGTAATGCCATCAGTCCTAATAGGGAGTGGGCTTCGCTCTCTGAAATTTCTAGACGAGGTCTCCTCCACGGGATCCAACTTGGCTTGGCTTCCAAACCTACAGCGAAGGCCAGGTCAACCACCTGTGGCCTCTTGAAGACGCACCTTGTGGGACTGAAAGAACATTCTAGGTGGCCCCCAGAAGGACAGGAAATCCTCTCCGGATTTGCCCGCCACTTTCTGAGCATTTAAAAGCTGTGAATAGGTGAACTGTTGATCCGAATCCATGTTTTCGGCCAAGAGCTCGTGGTTGCCAAGTGCGTGATTCATTTCACCTTACTGCAAATGGGGAGGAAGGTGACGTCAAGTGGAAAAAAAGAAAAAGAAACAGGAGCCAGGAGCCAAAGGTACGGTCCTGAGCACGCTCAGATTTTAGGTTTGCTGCTGCGATGGGGGGGGGGGGCGACCCATATTTGCCCTCTGCAGTAGGCCTGAGTTGCAAAATTGAGGAAGCTGGCCAGGTTCCTGGGCGTTCATCATGCTAGCAGGAACTTCAAAAAAATGTGAAGTGCTGTTGCATGCCTTAGTTAGGTGGAACGCCTGTGAATGCAGAAGGTTTGCCAGGATTGAAACCCCCGTCTAGATCTACTAGCCTCGGGGTCAAGGTCCTAAATTCTTTCCTTCTTTTGATCAGGAGGAGGAGGGGGGAGGAGGAGGAGGAGGAGGAGGAGGCTGTAAATACATTGACTCTCTTGTCAAATCTAAACCCATGCTCTTTGACAGGTACAGTATTCCAGCAGAGGAACAATAACAACAATAATAATTATTCCTCTTTCCTCCTCCTGCTTCTGCTTCTTCTCCTCCTCCCCTCCTCCTCCTCCTCCTCCTCCTCCTCTTCTTCTTCTTCTCCTTCTCCTTCTCCTTCCCCTCCTCCTCCTCCTTTTCATCTATCTTCTCCTTATCTGTCTATGTCTCCTCTTCCTCCTCATCTTCTCCTTATCATCTATCCGTGATCTACTTAAATTTCAGCTCAATCTATCTTCTTCTTCTTCTTCTTCTTCTTCTTCTTCTTCTTCTTCTTCTTCTTCTTCTTCTTCTTCTTCTTCTTCTTCTTCCTCTTCCTCCTCCTCCTCCTCTTCCTCCTCCCAATTCCTCTCCCTTTCATGTTAGGCAAATGTTGCAAACGAACATTGTTCTGGGGTGGGGCAGGGAGACAGAAATGGGCTTTAGAGATTAGGAGGCAGAGGACTGGCAAATCCCGAAGCCAGGGTCACGGAGTCCAGGGTGTGATCCCTCCCTGCCGGCTCAGAGTTCCACAATGGCAAGTTTGTTTCTCGGCACCTTGAACTTTATGCAGAGAATTTCGCTCCTTTTCTTCCAACTAGGAAATTGCAGCTGGAGACTTGGCTGGATTGGAAAGTTTCCCTCCCCTCATTATTGTGTGCAGGTTCTTTCAGTTAATCTTCCTGAAGGACAGGCTACTTACTCCTCCTCCTCCTCCTCCTCCCAAGTGGGACCTTAGCCACGATAGACACTCAGGTGGCTATCATGACTAAGGTGGGACTAGAACTCACCGTCTCCTGGCGATTGGCCCAAAGTCACCCAGCCAGCTTCTGTGCCTAAGGCAGGACTAGAACTCACCATCTCCTATTGACCAGCTCAAAGTTACCCAGCTTTCATACCTAAGATGGGACTAGAACTCACTGTCTTCTGGTGATTGTCCCAAAGTCACCCAGCTAGCTTTCATGGCTAAAGTGAGACTAGAACTCACCGTCTCCTGGTGATTGGCCCAAGGTTACCCAGCTGGCTTTCATGGCTAGGGCAGGACTAGAACTCACCATCTCCTGGTGATTGTCCCAAAGTCACCCAGCTAGCTTTCATGGCTAAAGTGGGACTGGAACTCACCATCTGCTGGTGATTGGCCCAAGGTTACCCAGCTGGCATTCATAGCTAGAACTCACAGGACTAGAACTCACAGTCTCCTAATGATTGGCCCCATCACCTCAAAATTCCCAGGTTTCCACCAAAGAATTCTCTTTCTGCCAGCCAGGCCAATCCAAGGAAGGCAATCAAGAAGTTAAGCAAGGATTCGAATCTTAAGAGCCTGAAAAACAAGCAAGCCACCTAACACGTATTTCTTCTTTAGCTGCCTCTCCAAAGGATCTGCTCCCTTCTTACCTTTATCTGCCAGGGACAGCGTAGTATTGAAATACTGCTCTTCCACGGTCCACGCCGTGTCGTTCATCTTGTTGGACACTCCACAGGAGCCCACGCAGCTCACTTTGATGGCTGGAAGAATCAGAAAGGAGGAGGATGAATAGTTGGGGCTGATTCATTAATCCACAGAAGAAGCAAATAAAGAGATTCCATCATAATCTTCAAGCATGGTTTGTTTGAGAAAGAGGGAGTCAGGCTATTCTCCAAAGCGCCTGAAGGCAGGACAAGGAACGGATGGAAACTAACCAAAGAGAGAAGCAACCTAGAACTAAGGAGGAATTTCTTGACAATGAGAACAATTAACCAGTGGAACTGCTTGCCACCAGACGTTGTGGGTGCTCCATCACTGGAAGCTTTTCACTGGACAGCCATTTGTCTGAAACAATACAGGGTCTCCTGTTTGAGCCAGGGGCTGGACTAGAAGACCTCCAAGGTCCCTTCCAACTCTGTTACATTGTTATTTCTGTTACAAGGTGTCAGACACAGAGCAAATCGCGTGTCACTTAAGCCAGGATCCCTCAATTGTCCATCATTCCAAACCCAGATTCCTGGTATCAGATGGCAGGTCATTCTGCTTATTTTTTAGCCTTTTTCATTTTTCTTTAAAAAAATGTTTCTTTATTTGTCGCCCACCTTTATCACTTTTATAAAGAGCTCAAGGTGGTGAACGTAGCCGACATACTTTCCTCCAGTTTCCCCCACAACGACAACGGCCCTGTGAGGTGGGTTGAGCTGAGAGAGACAGGGATTGGCCCAAAGTCACCCAGCCGGCTTTTGTGGCTAAGGCAGAACTAGAACTCACCAACTCCTAGTGATTGGCTCAAAGTCACCCAGCTGGCTTTTATGCCTAAGGCAGAACTAGAACTCACCATCTCCTAGTGATTGGCTCAAAGTCACCCAGCCAGTTTTCATAGCTAAGGCAGTGCTAGAACTCCCTGTCTCCTGGTGACTGGTCCCAAATCACCCCATCGCCTTTCATGTCTCAGGCAGGGCTAGAACTCCCCGTCTCCTGGTGATTGGCCTAAAATCACCCAGTAGGCTTTCATGCCTATAAGGCGGGACTAGAATTCCCCATCACCCAGTTGCTTTTCCTGGCTAAGGCAGAGCCAGAATTCACCGATTCTTGCTTTCTAGCCGGTTGCCTTAACCACGAGGCCAAACTCTCTTCATTTCCTGTCATTCTGACTAGGAAGGAAATTAAGAAACTGTTGAAACTTCCTTTACAGGGTGTTTCTCCATCTTCAATTTTTTTCTTAAAAAAAATTGTTAACAGGGCAAAAAAACACACCCCTTTCTGCTCCGTGCGAAGCCCAAATCAAGCCGTTTTAATCACACGTAGGGAGTCCGCAACTGGATGGAAGGCCTGGCAATCGGATGGCAGGGGAACAACTCATATTAAATGCACGATTCCTTCTGCTTAGCTTTAATGACCGTGCAATACGAGAAGAATTAAATCACATTTAAGTCTCCCTCCTGGCTCCAGCCAGTCCCTCTCTCTGGAGCCTCCGTCTTAGCACATCCTTCAAGGAGAGCTAAATCTGGCTTTGCTCCTGGGGCAAACTCACAACAAATGTTTTGCTTAAACAACAGAAACTTTGGGCTCAACTGAGGTCGTAAGTTGAGGAGTAGCAGTGTTATATTTTGGTGGATACCTTTTTTCGCCCCTAATCCAGGGAAAAAGAGAGGAGGGGGAAGAGAGAGAGAGAGAGAGAGAAGAGAAAGAAAGGAAAGAGCGAGGGAAGTGAGAGAGAAAAAGAGAGAGAAAGAAAGAGGGAAGAGAGAAAGAGAAGGGAGAGAAAAGGAGAGAAGAGAGAGAAAGAAAAAAGAGAGAGGGAAGAGAGGGAAAGAAGAGAGAGACAGAGAAGAGAGAGACAGAGAGAAAGAAAAGAGAAAGAGAGGGAAGAGAGAAAAAGAGAGAAGACAGAAAGAAAGAAAGAAAGGAGAGAGGGAAGAAAGAGAAGGAAAGAAAAGAGAGAGAGACAGAGGAGAAAGAGAGAAAGAAAGAGAAGAGAGAGAAAAGGAGAGAAGAGAGAGAAAAAAGAGGGGAGAGAGAGAGAGAGAGAGAGAGAGAGAGAGAGAGAGAGAGAGAGAGGCAGCTCCTGTTCCCAGAAACTCAGACATCTTTTGCAAAGCCAAATAACAAGATGTCGTATTAATAGCCCTGGAAAACCAAGTTTGCATTTTAATCAGGGCAAACGAGGCTTGCCCCAAGCCAAAGACGAGCAGACAGCCATTCAACACCACTAACCTATCCAGTCTAGTAAGTCAGGTTGAAAGGGAGGGGGGAAGGGGAGGAAAGAGCCCAGGGCCCACTTGAGGCTAATTGCCATCCTCGCAATTAACCACCCCAATAATAATAATAATTTTTTTTTCTATGACTATTATTTTTTTCATTCAATCTGGCATGGCCGCCCACTCCGACGGGCTCAGCGCCTCGTACGTGGTTAGGAGAGTTAAGAAGGCAGACAAAACAAGATTTGAAAAATAAACACAATAAAACAGGACGGGGCAGCCTGCCCCCCCTCCCCAAACATGCCTCCCTTCCCCCCCCCCCCGCCCCCAGCATTAAGCCCAAATCTGGGAACAAAGCCAGGCTTTTCAGAATCTCTTCGGGAACAAGATCCACCCTTTGCACAAACAGATCTAGTTCCACGCTTGGGCAAGGTCAGTTTCTGTCTCTTGTTTTGGAGATTTGCCCAGGGTGGGTGTGCTTTTTAGCTTTTGGTTTTGTGTGTGGAGGGAGGGAGGAGGAGTGTGTGCAAATGTAGATATGTGTAGGGAATTATTTATAGCCGCTGCTTCCCAAGAGTGGCGGGTGGCTTGCTTTTCTTCCCTGAATGCTTTTCAAGAAATTTCCTGCTCTGCAGCGGCGGAAAATGTTAAGTAGGTTGGAGTTTGCAAACGGGTCGATATCGCCTCGCTTTGCTGTCCCTCCGGCCTTCCTGGGTCCAGGGTGACCCCGGTATTGATGAAGCGGCATTGGATGGCGGGATCTATGGGGTAGCAGTAATGGATGAAGACAGGCTGTCTTTCCAGGACTCCAGATGATTATCTGGAGAGATTCTCCATCCTCCAGATCACGGTTGTCCCAAAGGTGCTGTTGAAAGAAAAGTCTTCATCATGGTTCATCCAAGATGGGAATAAACTACAACCTCCTTCCCAAAGCAGTTGCCATGTTTATTCCCCAAAAGCAGTTGCCATGTTTATTCCCAGCTCGGATGAACCACGATGAAGACTTTTCTTCCAAACAGTGCTTTTCTCAAAGGGCAACTGGACTTTGGTTCTGTCCCCGAAGACATTGTGCATCTCGTCCGAGGAACTTCCCCAGAACTGAAGAAGCTTCTCGGACGAGAGGCGAAACGTCTTTGAGGAAAAAACAAAGTCCAAGCTGCCTTTGGAAAAAAAAAAAAAAAGCACCTTTGGGAGAGTCTTGGGACAACTCGCCGCATTCAAATCACCACCGGAAAACTTTCTGAGGGACAATTCAACATGTCAATTTAATGACTGAAAATAGCTTTTTTTTTTTTTTTTAAAGATATTTTAATTTTTGTTGATCGCACCTCATGTTGTCCCTCCTTTGGCCTCCTTGCTTTAATGAATCTGTTCCACCATTTCTTCGATGTTGGTGGGACTCTTGGCGAAATGTCCCAGGGTGAGTTTGCAGCGAGTTGGCTGTGGCGAGTTAATTGTGGCAAGTTGTCATAGACCCATCTTGATGACACTCAAGAGCCACATCTGGGCTAGGGCTCGCTTGTCCTGGTTGTCATGCGCAAAGAATCAGGAGCATAGGTTAAGAAGGATTGATTGTTCAAGCCTGTACACAAGACTCTGGCCAGCACTAAACTGGCTTTAAATGAGGGTCGACGGAATTCAAGAGGGCTTCGACCGGGATCTTTTGTGACAATGCAAGGATTCCCATCTGATGACACGTTTGATACTGCCCACCAGCTCTGCCTGCTCTTCTCCGACACCAGTCCCTCAGTTATGGTGTTAAAAAAAACAATTAACTCTCCACTATTTGTTTAGTGACCATGTGATGTTACAGTGGCACTGAATACTACAACTATTTTTCACACTTATCACCATTGGAGCATCCCTATGGTCAGGTGATCCAAATATGGACGCTTGGCCACTGACTCATATGTATGATGGTCACAGTGTCCCAGGGTGATGTGATCTTCTCTTGCGACCTTCTGACAAGCAACGCAAGTTTCACTTAACAACCCGTGTCACTAATTTAACAACTGCAGAGGTTCACTGAACAGCTGTGGCAAGAAAGGTTGTGAGATGGAGCAAAGCTCACTCCACAATTGTCTTGCTTAGTAACGGAAAGTTTGAGTCCGACTGAGGCCGTTGCTTCAACCCGTTGTGTTGCATTCGGCTTTGTAATCCTCGATAAAAGGGTCCCACTGCCCAGCGAGTAGGGCGCCCCACACATGGACAATGTCATTGTTGTGCTGTCAAAGTGGGGTTCACTTTTGGGGCGCGGCATGACCCTTGTTGATTGGGCCTTATTCCATCCACCATGGTTAGCTCCACCTGGATGGTAAGGTGTAAACCACATTGTGTAGGGTTCATCTTGAACTCAAGGGAACTAGATGATTTTTTTTTTTTGCTGATAGAACCATCTGTGTTGATGGCCTTGGGATGGATTGAAACACAATTCCCCTTGGTTTCCACCTTGATGGATTAGGGGAGTATAAATCACAGCTTGCTGCCTCTCTTCACTGGGAGAAAAGGTTTAAAAATGAGGTTTCGGGATATAATTTACTCCGCTTTTTTGCTTAAAAAGCAGTTTTTCTAGAGCGGCCATGTCATTCTCCGTCTGTCAACAGAGGCTGAGTCGTTGCTGTTGTAGATTTCAGAGGTGTGGGCAAATTGTAGAGTTGATGGAAGAAAATGGCTGGTGCTTTTGTTTAATCAGGTGTTATTTAAAAAAAAAAAAAAGAGCCAGACAGAGAGAAATGCTTAGGTGAATATGACTGCAACGAAGCCCAAAAATTTCTGTCGCTCAGCGAGACATTTGCAAAAAGAGTTTTGCCCCATTTTTACCCTCTTTCTTGCCACAGTTGTTAAGTGGATCATGGCAGTTGTTAACTTAGCCACGCGGTTGTTAAGTGGATCTGGCTTCCCCCATTGACTCTGCTTTGCCAGAAGGTTGCCAATGGGGGTCACGTGACCCTGGGACGCTGCGACCGTTGTAAATACGAGTCCGTTGCCAAGCCCCTGAATTTTGATCACGTGACCATGGGGATGCTGCCCCTCTTCTTTCCAGCGCCGTTGCAACTTTGAACGGTCCTTAAACAAATGGCTGTAAGTCAAGAACTACCTGTAGTGTGGTCACACCTGGTTTCAAGGATGCCACCCCAGCTGGATCTTAGAAGGGGAGGGAGGGTGAATGAATGGAAGGAAAGATGGAAGGAAGGATGGAAGGATGGAAGGGAGGGAGGGAGGAAGAAAGGGTGAATGAATGGATGAATGAATGGAAGGAAGGAAAGAAAGAAAGAAAGAAAGAAAGAAAGAAAGAAAGAAAAAAAGAAATAAAGAAGGAATGGAAGGAAGGATGGAAGGGAGGGAGGGTGAATGAATGAATGAATGAATGGAAGGAAGGAAGGAAGGAAGGAAGGAAGGAAGGAAGGAAGGAAAGAAGGAATGGAAGGAAGGGTGGAAGGGAGGGAAGGAAGGAACTTAGTAACAACCATGTTACCAATTTAAGTAATTTAGTAACATCCATGTTACTAAGTCAATGGGGAAAAGCCAGATGCACTTAACAACCGGGTTACTAACTTATCGATGCAGCAATTTGCTTCACAACCGAGGGGAGGAAGGTCGTAAAACGGGGCAAAACACACTTAAGAAAAATGTGTTCCCAAAGCGCAGAAAGGTTAACAACAAAAGAAATGTTTTGCTCGTGCTTAGACAACTATCGCCCACCTACGACACGCAAACCAAACGCCATTCCTTGGTGAGGAACCTGTAGAAACAAGGACACAGCATGTTACAGCTACTCCTTCCTTCCAAAGGAGGCGGGTGTGAATTTTTTTGCAGGGGATCCAACTGCTCAAACAACACTTGAGTCAACAAATTCTCTTCCCAGTCCTACTTCTGCTCAAGGCCCTCCTCGTCTGGGGGAAAAAAAGGGAAGAGAACAAGGAAAGTCTTGGGCTTTTATCCCTGGCAAATATTTTGTGGAAAGTCACATTCCCTTCTTCTCCAACATTTCCCTACCTCAAGTAGAGACCACCTTGATTGCACTGTTCAGTACACAACACTACACAAATACACAGGCAGTAAATGGAATGCTGCAGCCAGTTTTGGTCACCCTGTCACAAAAAAGATGTTGAGAGTTTGGAAAAAATGCAGAGAAGAGCAACTAAGATGATCCAAGGCCTGGAGACTAAAACATACGAAGAAGGGCTGCGGAAATTGGGTTTGGCCAGTGTAAAGAAAAGAAGAAACAGGGGAGACATGAGAGCAGTGTTCAGGTATCTGAGGGGCTGCCACAAAGAAGAGGAGAGGGTCACGCTATTCTCCAAAGCAGCAGAGGGAAGGACGAGAAACAATGGATGGAAACTGATCAAAGAGAGAAGCAACCTGGAATGAAGGAGAAACTTCCTGACAGTGAAGACAATCAACCAGTAGAACAGCTTGCCACCAGAAATCTTGAGCGCTCCATCACTGGAGATTTTTAAGAGACAAGACATTCACCTGTCTGAGACAGTATAGGTATATTAGGTATATTAGCGCCTACATCAACTGCCTTTCAAAAGCAATGAAAAGCAAATCCCTTCCAGAGGAGGGTGGGGTAATAATGTGGAGGTAGTCCTCTACTTACAAGTTCGTTTAGTGACTGTCCAAAGTCGCAAAAAGGGACTTAAGTCCATTTTTCACACCCACAAGCGTTGCCGCATCCCCATCGTCGCGTGATCAAAGTTCAGAGGCCAGAAAAGTCATAAAATGGGACCCAAATTCACTTAACGACTGCCTGGTTCAGCCAGAGAAATGTGGTCGTGATTTGAGGACTTACGGGTGCAGCTTGATAAAAGGCTCATCTATTTGGAAGATCGAACTGTTTATTGCGGTCCCGTAAAACCATCCAGGCGTCCTTCGGGATGGCAAGCGAGCATTCCTCTAACCAAGAAAGCGAGTGTGATTCAGGAAATAAAAGGCTCGGGGCCACATTCTAACCCTCTTATGTCACAAATGACGGCCTGTGCCTCACCTTACAGGGTGGACACGCACCAGACTCACCCCCCCCCAGCAAAGAGCCCACGATGTCACGCCTTGCTTCGCCGTGAGAACACACCCCTTTGGGCTTCAAACCAGCTCTTTGGAGAGCTTCAAGCGCCTGCATCAGACAGGAAGCAGGTTCAAAGTTACTGCCCTGCCAGATGGGAGGCCTTCTCCAGAGGCGGAAGGTGCTGGTTAATCCATTTCTCAAGAACCCGCGTCTTGGGGGTGTCCATCACTCCCCTTGGGTTGAGCCCCCAAGTGGGGGGGAAAAGATCCCTGGGTAGGAAGACTCCGAAGCCCTCCGGAAGACTCAGCCTTCATCAAAGCGCTCAACCAGGGCTGCAAAGAATCTCAGCCACCCTTGGCCTTGGGAGGATGGGGGTGGGTGGGTGGGTCCTCTCCTCGCTTTCCAATCTGAGCAGGGGCAGGAAGAGGGGAAGGACCCCCCCTCCCCCGTCTCCCTCCCCAGGCCCTCGGGAGCCGGGCTGAACCCCCCACCCCACCCCACCCCCCTACCCAAAACCCCTCGGCCAGGTGCAGAGAGAGCGTCGCCCACCTTCTCCAACCCCCGGGCTTACCGCGGTACTGGAGAGCGCCGGCTAAGCGGACGGTGACGCTTCCCACCAGCGGCTCGCCGGGGCTGTAGACCACCCGGCTGTCGCTCAAGCGGATCTCGAAGAGCTGGACCTTCCCCATGGCCGGGCCGAGGCTAGAGGGAGGGGAAAGGTGGGGGGGGAAGGAAAAGGCCTGGCTCAGCTGAGCTGCTTCCCCCGGGCTCCGCTGCGTTTTTACGCGGCGCTCTCTCGGCTCCTGCGCGCTCGCCCGCCGGACTTCAACTGCGGAATCCGCAGCTAGGCTGCCTTCGCTCTACCTGCGGCCTCGGGGGAGGGGGCAGAGCAGGCCCCCGCCCCCTTACAGGCCCCGCCCCCACCCACCCCGCCCCAAATCGCCTCGGGGGCCGGAATCAGCTGTCAGCCGGCTGTCGTGCGCTCGGCTTGGCGAGAGGTGCGCGCAGCATCCGCCTCTTCCAACTTGATGCTTCCAGGGGACTCCAGCTCCCATCGTCCCCGCTGAGACGGGAGCGAGGGCTTTGAGGGGAGGGATGGAGAGCTAACCCTGAAATGGAAGGCTTACTTGAGTTGGAAAGGCGAACCGACTTGGCCATCGCCCCCTCCCCGAGGACCCATCATCCCCAGCCGCGCTCAAGACAACCGGGGGGGGGGGAAAGCAGTGGGTCACTCAAGGAACTAAATGAGGGCAAGAAATGATACATATTGTATTTTTTCCTGAAGCTTTGCCACTGGAATTCCTATCTGCCGGGCCAGGAAATAGAAGCAGTCTGTGCTTAAATAGAAGAGGCAAAAAAAAAAATTGTTTTTAAATCTCTTTGATTGGAGTCCTGGCTCACCCCAAATGGCTCCCCAAATCTATTTTTCTTCCAAATCAGGTCCCAGCTCAAATCTCCCAGGTTAATTTTGTCCTATTACTGTCTCTGGACTGGCCTGCTTCACAGGGCTGTTGTGAGGGAAAAGGAGAAGCCCAGAGTCTTGAAGAGAAACACAAAACTAAATTTAGTAGCTAAATTAGGAATAAAAAAGCATCCCAACCGTGAATTCGTTCGCTTCATTAATTCATAAAATCAAGGAACCGATTGTCCACAGGCCTTAAGAAATGGCTGCATCCACACAGCTCATTTTAACCCGGGGGTGAGGGTGGCGTTAGATCTAATGAGTCCTAATAATAATAATGAGTATTACTGATATCGTCACAGGATGGAAGCGGTTCCTAGTAAGGCCGCCTTTTGCAATTGACTAATGGCGAATCTGTCAATGCCGATGATGGTGTCCAAGTGGTGCCCCAGTTGTTTTGGGATTGCACCCAAGGCGTCGATTACTATTGGTACTACCCTTGCTTGCCTTTGCCACAGTCTTTCTATTTCTATTTGTAGGTCTTTGTATTTTGTTATCTTCTCCAGTTCTTTCTCATCTCTTCTGTCTCCAGGCACTGCCACATCCACTCCAGGGTGTTACGTGGCAGGTGCTTGTCTGTTTGAATTCTGAAGTCCCAGAGCAGTTTAACATTTTCATTTTCTACGACTTTCTCTATTTTATGGTCCCACCAGTTCTTGCCTGCAGGCAAATGATATTTCTTGCAGATCTTCCAATGCACCATTGCTGCAGCTGTCATGCTGCTGCTTGTAGTCACTTACTGTCTGTTGCTGTCTTCTCAATTTTGACTTTGTATGCATTTGTCATTATTATTATTATTACTATTATTATTATTATTGAAGTGGGTTATAAAGTTACTGGTTCTGCAGCCTAGCTTTACCCAACCTCAACTTTGAGATTAGGGAACAAAGATTTGCGCCACGTATTCTGCTCAGCAGAAATTCATTTTCCTGGAATCTGTTGGGGGTCACCAGTAGTGAAAACTGTTGAAAATCAGCCAAACAGACTCTGTTTGTTTGCAGCAAGGGGGAAAAAAAATCACTCATGTTCCCAAGGAAGGGGTGAAAATCTCAAAAAAGAGGCAGCAGGGGGCTGCCTTAAGCGAAATTATTTGCCAACACTGCCTCCCACCATTCTTTTAAAAGTTCTTTGAAGAAAACGATGAGTTGAGAAATTATTATTATTATTTTGTAACCCCTCGGAAGGGTCTCAGTGTGGGAAGGATGGCTGGTGATGTCATTTTTGCCTTCCTCCGGGTCTTTTTTTCTTTTCCACCTCTCTTCTAAGCAAAAGTGTGAGGTGTTAACCTTTGAAGAAGTGTCAGGTCTCCCCTGGAGCGGAGAAGATGCTTGCTCAGTTTTTGAAGCTCTGGTTCTAGGCGGGTTTTTTACTATTATTATTATTCTTTTTTTTTTCCTTAACATCGCCAGGAATAAGGGGAAAGCGTTGTCAGTTTGCAGATGGAAACACGGACACGCATGTAAATGAACACTGCCTTGCTATCTCACAAGGGAACTTCGACCACGCCTCCAATCCAGAGTCTAAAATTACTTAACCGCGGAAGCCATTGTTAAGTGAGAATAACAGCTAATTTAATTGGCTGGTTGGAATCAAAGGCTTGCGGGAAAAACCAGTTCTCCTTATTTGAAAGGGATGGTAGGAAACAGGAGGTGGGCGAAAGCGTCACAGGGATTACAGATTGCAACTTGGAAAGGAGTTGTTTGGTCCTGTTTGGGTGTTTGTTCCTTCCCTGGAAATGTTGGGTGTCAGAAAAGCTAGAGGCACCAGGTTGGGGAATGTAACACTTGGTGCATAAGCACTCAATGAGTATTGGAAGAGGAGAGGAGAGGAGAGTTGGAAGGGACCTTGGAGGTCTTCTAGTCCAACCTCCTGCACAAACAGGAGATCCTATATCATCCGGGACAAATGGCTGTCCAGTCTCTTCTTGAAAACCTCCAGTGTTGGAGCACCCACCACTTCTGGAGGCAGGTTGTTCCACTGGTTAATTGTCCTCACTGTCAGGAAGTTTCTCCTTAATTCCAGGTTGCTTCTCTCTTTGATCAGTTTCCAACCATTGTTTCTTGTCCTTCCCTCTGATGCTTTGGTGAACCACCTGATCCCTTCTGCCTTTTGGCATCCCCTCAGATTCTGGAACACTGCTATCATATCTCCCCTGTTTCTTCTTTTCTTTAGACTAGCCGTTCTTCGTATGTTTTAGTCTCCAGGCCTCGGATCATCTTATTTGCTCTTCTCTGAATTCTTTCCAAACTCTCAATATCTTTTTTGTGATAGGGGGATCAAAATTGGCTGCAGTATGCCAGGTGTGGTCTTACCAGGGCTTTCTAAAGCAGTAATAGTACTTCGCGCGATCTTGATTCAATGCCTCTGAAAAGAAGGCTCTCCTCTTTGTTAAGGCTTTGGGTCATCCTGGAGGCCCCCATTATGTGCCAGGTCTTTGGAAACATCTCCAAAGTGAGATGGCCAGGTGACACTATCAGGTGGCAGTTTGTGGGAAAGATGCTTCAAACGTTAATCCTTATAACCTAAAGGAACCAGAAAGCTGACTAGGAGAAGACACAGTTAGATGTTCTCTGGGCATGTCATCTCCCACAAGACCATGACCCAGGAGAGTCAGGCCTGTGTTGACTCATCTCAAGGACCTGTTCTTGACGTCAGAGCAAAAGTGTTGCAGTTCTGCAGGCACCAGGACTGGAATTTCAGGATGTCTCTGGACATGTAAAGCAGAGATCCTTCAACTTTTCTAGGCTGATGGGTGCATTCGGACTTCCTGAAAAAGTTCTGGAGCTTAGGATGAGGACATGATAAAGAGCATGGGGTGGTTTTCCAGATTCCTGGTCTACTTTTAAGTGGTTTCTTGACATTATTCCTTCCCAAGAGCTAACCAAGTTTGATCTGGGTTAGGTTGGAAGCTCAAGATCAGCCAGCTGTTGACAGCTGCAAAGGCACACGGAGAGGACTGCGCTACGTTAGAGAACAATATTTCCGCCTTGGTGGATTGTAAATTTCATTCTTCACCCCAGAAGCAACATTCTTAGCAGATGTATTGTTTAAACTACCAATTGCTCATCTCTCTGATTCAGTAACAATTTGTTCCTCCTGTCAAAATAAAACAAAAGCTCGTGCTTTAAAAAAAATATTGTCCTATAGGGAAGGCCAGAAGGGAGATGAGCCCAGTTTTTCTTAAGAAAAAGTCATCCAGTACTATTGGTGAGTAAGAAACTGGTAAGGCAAGCAATGAATCAGCTCTTAATTATGAAATGGGTCATATTTTTATGCCCGTTTCACAGGTGGGAAGACAAGTTGTCAAGCAGCTTGAGCTTTTGGGCCAATCCAGCTTGGTGATTCAAAGGTATGGAGCAGCACAACAGGTGTCCAATCTTGTGATCTGCTTGTGGCATCAGATTCCCCCAAAAAAGGAATCCGAAAGCCACCCTTGTGATTCCACAAGTAATCCGCCACCTTCTTGGTGACTCAGGAAATTCTCCCAGGGAGAGAAGACCATCAAGATGGAAGATTCTGAAAGATGTTTAGGAGGAGCTGTTGGGTTCCTCCGAGGACTTTTCAACGGGAGCAAGTAGGTTTAACTAGCTGTCCGTCCCACCCCATCCTCCAAGTTTTTGCAGTCTATTTAGGGACCACCCTCTCGATATTAGGAAAGTCGCTCATATTCTCCAGGAAGCCCATCATGGTCCAGACACTTGGGATTCATCCACAAGATATCTGGATGCAACCAGGCAATTCTCACTTGGCTCAGCTTCGCAGTAGCCCCCAAAGCTTCAGCACTCCCAATTTCAACCAAGCAGAACCCATTCTTAAGTCCTGCCCATCTTCCCTGATGCCCAGAATGAGATTTCT